CACGATATGCTATCTTCATCCTGGATTTCCATAAACCTGTCTCTCCTGAACAGCTCTCTCCTGCTGGGGGCACACTGTTACTGGCAGCCCCACTCCTTGAGTGGAGGCAGGGGCAGCCTGTCCATATAGGCGAACTAGGCGGTCGCCTACGGCGCCAAGTTAAATGGGGCACCAAATAGTGGCGCAATATAATTGAGAGGTTTGGAGGTGGGGGCACCGATAGCATGGTTCGCCTAGGGCACCAGTTGCTGGCAGCTAGTCTAGGGCCACCCCTGAGCAGAGGGGTTCCTTTTTACCCTCCTCAGAACAATGGTCCCTCCTTTGTAGAACAAACTAGGTTGGCTCCTCCTCATTTTCAGTTATTTTTCAAGGTGTTCCAGCTCTTAGTCCATGTCTATACTTACAAGCTTAGAGTGGCATAAATGTACCGATGCAGCTGCGCTATTGTGTAGCTGCGTTTTGCCGATGAGAGAGAGCTCTCCTGTTGACATATTAAAATTAGCACAAATGGCGGTAGCTACCTCAGCAGGCAAACCAATATTTGTAGAGTGTACACTACCCCTTATGCTGTCAAAACCTATGTCACTCAATGGGGAAGCAGGGGTCACACACTTGAGCAACAAAAGTTTTGGTCGACATAAGTGCTAGTGTGTAGACATGGCCTTAGTTGCAACACGAAGGGGGAAAAAACCAGCACCATCTGACCAACTAGGTCTGCAGGCAAGTCTACACACCACAATTTTGGAACTGCAGATTAATTTCAACTCCTCCCATAGTTAAATGGGGAAGCATTTAATTAAAACAGTGGTAGGTTTTAAGGCTAGTAGAACTCAAACCCACAATTTCTAACCTTTAACCCTTAGCAAATGTGAAAATGCTCCCCATCAGTATGCTGTCATTCTAGAAGGAAGAAGGAAGTACATAAATTAAAATGATATGGGTTAGTAAAATCCAGCCTTACATGATAAACAACCAAACAATATTTTATTCATTCGCATTCTCTCTCTTGCTTGCTCATATTTAGTAATTCCAACCAAAAAATTTACATGGTATGAAAATTCTTGACCATGAGTGCACGTAAGTAGTATAGTTAAGGAAGTACTATTAATAGTGATGCTGTTTGCACAGACAATATATCCACACTGTGGGCCTCGATTATGATCTCAAAGATGCAGAAGAGAATTTGTGCCTGTGTACACATGCATTAATAGAAGCACAGCAAACATTGAAATTAGAATCCAACTACAAGCCTTCGGAACATGCAGACTACACATGCATTATATGCATCGTAGAGGAAACCATTCAATGATTTTCTGCAATATTAAAAATGAAGCATTTATAAAGTATTATAGAAGGAATCAAAGTTATCTGTTCATTGTTTAGAACATTCAAGACAACTGTTCCACACTGATTGGGGTTAAAGACAGGAATGAAAGAACATATCCCAGTGTTTGCCATTCTGCACAAATATTTGATGACATACACAATCTCTTGCTTTGAGGGGAGGGGATACCCAAGTGTAACTTCACAAATTTAAAGCATACAAAAATATTTTACAGAAGAGAGCACTCCAAAATACATCTCATTATGAATCAATTTTTTAGCCTCCACAGATAAGCATTACCTATCTACCTATCTACCTAACAAAGTTGGTTTAAGAGCTGGTCAAACTTTGAAATGAACAATTCACCCCAGAAACAAAATATTTAAGCCTTGTATTTTTCTTAGTGTTTAAAGTTTAACTGAGCCCTAAATCAGCTTCACTTTATATCTTTGCTATAGACCAATTTGCTCTATATTTCTATTAAACTCTTATTTTTAAACTGTTTTTATTTTGAAGTATAAACAAAGTTGACTTATAACAACTCCAGTTTCAAAACTGAAATTTAACCAACGCTTAGTACATAATGAAAATTACTAAGCCGAAGATATTAAGATTCAACAGTAATAGTTAACATTGGCTATTATTCATGTAGAATACAATCAAAAAACGGTTCAAATACATACGTGCTACAAAGGAAATGACTTCAACAATTTACAGCAGGTATTGAATTGACCCAATTATGTTTAAACGTAACAAGCCTGTATTTCAAACATCGTGCCCCTAATAAGACATCCCTCTCATTTATTTGGAAACTCAGATCAACAATTACATCACAGTTCTATACCTAATCTATTGATGTAACTGCAGTGTGAGTTCTGTGTATGGTACACCTATAGACTCAGGTTATTAGGTGTATTTTAAAGGGCATTTATGCACCTAAGTAACAATGCAAACAACCACATCCAGGGCTGAAATATGCTGTTACAGGCCTCACTTTTGAAAACAGGACCTGTGCTGTCAAATCTCTAATATCAAAAATATTTAGTGTAATTTTAAGGTTGTTAATACTCACAAATGCAATCTTGCTATAACTTAGGCTAGATATACACTGCAATGGTAAGTTGGAAATGGTTGCATACCACAAATTGCAAATCTTTTTCCGTTTTACTGTCAAAAGAGGCTTTTCCGAAATTTGGTGCATCTACACATCCCTTTGGTGCTCTTGACATATCCCTATTCCTCATAAAACGAGGTTTAAAGGGATGGTGAAAGAGCATGTCTGCTTTTTTGAAATTTTTTCTGAAAAAGCGGACACATTCCTTGGACGCGGCATTGCTTTTCCAGGATATCTCTGGTATCCTGGAAAAGCAGTGCAGTCTAGATGTAGCCTTAATAAGTTTATAAATTTCATCATTGCAGTCAATATAGTTATACCACTGTAGCAGCCAGATCACAAAAATTATCTTTACTCATGTGAGTAGCCCTCTTGAAATCATGTGAATTAGGACCAGGCTGAGGACAGATTTTGCTGGGCCTCCCGAAGAAGAAAGACCTCAGGAGGAAGGGGCAGACCTGGAGACGAGCCTCCCCCAGCCAGAACTTCAGCCAGCACTGGAGCACACGGATTTAAAATGGCCAGGCTCTGGCTGCTGCCAAAGTAGTGGCAGTAAGAGAAAGGAGCCCTGAATCCTTTTAAATCGCTGAGCCCCGGGGCAGCTGCCCTCTTTCTCCCTATCAGTGGCCCAGGTTAGGATGACTCATGTGAGCAAGCGTCTGCAGAATTAGGCCCTCAGAGAAGACATCTCCACCATAATTAAGTTTTATTCAAGCAAGAACTTCACCATTTTTCAAACACTACCAAAAGATCAAGAAGAACCAAAATAATAACTTTAAACACTCAAGCAGATCTTGACATTCACAGAAGTGTCGCAAATAAGTCACAGGTGAAACGAAGTTATACAAATATATTACTTTGCATGCGATGGGCCTTTTAGGATAGAAAGAAAGAAATGGAAAAGGATTCGCAGAGTTTAATTAGGAAGGTGTCATGATTTAAAGAGAGATTTTTATTAATACGCTGAACCAAAGTTAAGGCCCAGATCCTGAAAGCTGATTAGTGCAAGCAGTTCCTCGTGCCAGTGTAGAGTTCCACTGAAATCAATGAGGCATGCTGCAGTCAGACCCCTGAACAGAATCCTATCTACTTCAATGCAAAGAAGTCATTGCAGCTCAATGAAGGCACCAGGATGTCAGACTGTGAGGTGGTGGCCAAAGACAGTCCTTGCCTAAGTTTCAACAAATAAAATAATTGCCATATTTAGAAGTATTCAGATCTAGAAAGGGACATACTTGGATCCCATTTCTGAATTACTCTTAGATCTCTAAATTATTTTTGCAACAAATATGAGGCAATGATTGGAATGGATTTTGAAGGGTAAAAGCCTTCCATTCTACCAGAATCAATCCCTCCAGATTTGCTTAATTCCCACACAGAAGTGGGCTATTTCCCTAAAAATTCCCAACTTCTAGAAGGAGTTAACGCAGCCGGTGACCTGCATCCTGCTAATGTCTGAGGTATAAACAGTTAAATGTTGAGTGGCTATGATAAGCCTTTACCAAACTTGGATCAGAACACAGTGGAAAACGTTGGGAAGAGTATTCTTAAAAGAAACGGAAATGTGCAAGAAATAGCCGCATCATGTCTTTTTTGATAATATCTGGTGGTCTTCCACAGCTGGATACTGAACAATGGCAAGCTGCTTGCCCCTGCTTTAAATTGTTGATTTAAGTGGACTTTCTCCCAAGTGTGAAACTTGTCTAAGCAAGCAGAGAATCAAACCTTTTCCTGGCCTGCTTCAAGACACCAAGTTTCCAATTCTCCACTGCCCTTAAGCTAATAACTGAACTTGGCCTGTTTACTTCAGAAGCTTTCTGGGCAGTGCTTGTTCCCAGTGAATGAGCTAAAGTTCATCTGCAGGCCAGGATTGTCAAAACTGGTAAGTAGTGATGTGGGGCTCTTTGGTATTCAGGTGCTCAACCAGAAACACCCTGAGGAGGCCTGATTTTTGGTGAGCGCTGGGGTCCTGCCCTCTGCAGCCGAGGCTCCTTGACGGAATTTTGCAAGTGGAGCACCTCCCACCCTCCCCCAGACCTTTGGTCGCTTTTCAGGACCGTGCCCTTGGGATGAACTGAAGTGCATTCCCTGTCAGAGCGCAGCGCACTTGGCCTCCAGACACACCCAGCCGGCCCAGCTGACCGAGCAGAGCACCTGCCTGGCTCTGAAACCTCCCCCACCGCCCCACAGGCAGGTGGCCCCGCTCCAGCCCCTGTTGCTGTGCCCCACCCCCCCGCCGGGGTGCCAGCCCCACATCTCCCAGCCAGCACGGCCCGCTACTCCGCCGGGGGTCTCGGGAACTGCTTTCCACTGGATCCCTAGCGAGACGCCGCTGAGCGCCCTAGCCCCGGATCCTAGTCCCCAGGGCCGGGAGAGGAACCTCTCGCCAAAGCAGCGGCGAACGCCCCGACAGGTGGCTGGCGAGGGGGGTGATGTGGGGCAGGCGGGGGGCGCGGAGGAGAGGGGAGGCGGGGAGCCCGGGGGAGACGCCAGGGGCAGAGAAAGGGCAGGTTGGCCGGCGCGGGGGATGTGGCAGGGCCGCGCTCCCATAGGGCGCCTTACCTTGGGGAGGCAGAGCAGGAGCAGCAGGCGGAGGAAGAAGAGCTGCCCTGGCTGCCTCATGGTCCCGACGAGCTCTCCCCGCTGCGCGCTTAGCCCGATCCCGGCTTTCCCAGGGGCATGGCAGGGCTGCGCCCCCCAACACTCACAGCGGCCCGGGTGCCTAGCTGGCTCCGCCTGCAGCGCGCCCCAGCTGGAAATGCGGGAGCAAGTCCCCGGCAGGGTGGAGCGCGATGCGCGGGGCAGGACTCCCAGCGAGGCTCGGCGGAGAGTCGCCTCCCCTCCGAGCACTCACTGCTTCCGCCGCTGCCAGGCGGGGGAGGACTTGGCCGCTTGTTGTCAAGGGTTTAAAAGGCCCTTTTTCTGCTGGGAAGTGGTTGCTCGCGCTTCCCTCCTCCCCTGACTCGGACGTTCCCTCTTTCTGGCTCCCAGCGCGCTGGACAAGGAAGTGGCTCGCTCAAAACTTTTCTAGCCCTCCCACATTCTTTTCTGCAATCGACTTGGAAATGGAGCCGGAGCGCGACGCTCTCCTCCCCCCTTCGGGCTCTGGCAAAAGGACATTCTTCCCCAGGGTGGCTCTCTCTCTCGCCCTGCAGCCCGCTGCTCCTCGGAGCACATGGGGCTGGGGGCAACGTTTCCAGAGCAGAAGACTGTCCACAGCAGGACTCGAAAAACAGATCCAAACCAACGCACATCAGGCATGTACATTTTCATTGTGTTACTCCTGATTTCCCGTAAGCACTGATGTGAGTACACATACCACCCAAACAGGGTGAGATTTACCAGGGCCAGTCAGTTCTTGAGTATGCTAATAAAAGAAGTTTTCATTTCCTCTCCCCGCTAACGTTTAGATTTGTACTTTATGAACGTTCAACTACTAGGGAAACACGAGTGGGGGAGAAAACGAAAACGGGTGCTCAGAAATGACTTAGTGAAACACTTCACCCCCAGGAAGCTGTCTGAAATAGTTCCTTTCAGTGTCAAAAGACGCTAGTATTATATGTCCCATTTTGCAAATTCACAGTAATGTATTTTTTTAGGGGTCATTCTCTTTGGACAATGAAAACAGACAAGTTAGTTTCAGTTTGGTTTCATAGACAAAGAAAACCCAACAAATGGTCTGGTAGCACTTTGTAGACTAACCCAACATGTAGATGGTATCATGAGCTTTCGTGGGCACAACCCACTTCTTCAGATAACTTTGGTCATCTGAAGAAGTGGTCTGTGCCCAGGAAAGCTCATGATACCATCTACATGTTGGGTTAGTCTACAAAGTGCTACCAGACCATTTGTTGGGTTTTCTTTGTTTCCTAGTCAGCTTCCTCTTAATCTCACCTTCAAGCTCTAAGAGGTGCTTCAAGGTTGTAATGCTTGAGTTAGGACCACTGCAAGTTAATGACTGAATCTGCTTAAAATCTATTTTAGTTTGCTTTTTAATGATAAAACCATTGTTGAAAAAAGTTTTTTTAAAGACATCGCTTTTACAAAATGTAAAATCTTTAAAACACTGAAGCACGTGTACAACTATATAGTTTTACAGTTCCTAAGAAGTGGAGCTAAGCACACACAAAGTTTTCTTTATGTTTGAGTTGCAGGATTGAGAGCTAAAATTTGTAACCTAAACAGATTTGTCATTATCTTGTTTGTAAAAATAAAGGTGCTTCCACTCAGATTTGAAAAATCTAGATAACTCCTTTAGAAAAGTTCTTTCAGGTACTTTACGTTTCTAAGTAAAATGCTTTTTAGTAGAAGTTCAGATATTGAGTGCATATCTCAACAGCACATAACAGCAGTTTAAAAATTCAGTCTCACGAGGAGTAACGGTAGTTCGGAATAGGACCCTAGTCCGAACTACCTAGTTCGAGCCCCGTGTAGCCGCGCTACACGGGGTTCGAAGCAGCGGGGATTTAAAAATGGCGGCTCCCCGCTTATGCTAATGAAGCCCGGGAAATTCAAATCCCGGGCTTCATTAGCAAGTGCGGTATGCATACATTACCCCGCTAGTTCGAACTAGCGGGGTAGTGTAGACATACCCCCAGGGACTCCCTGTAACAGAATGGCTGTGTAGATGCTAGGTAAGTTATTTTGATATAACTGCTGTTATTTCGAAATAACTTTGCTGTGTAAACATTCCCAATGTTTGTCTTTTTTCAGTGATTAGAATTGGGCAAAATTGGTGACATTTTCATTTAATTTGAGAGATGGGAGGATTTTTTTGGAGAAAGGAAGAAATAGGGAGGAGTGTTAGAGTAAGCTAAGAAATTAACTAAATCCATTTGAACCGGAAAAGGCTTCATATCCCACTATATTTCTTAAATAGGAAAAGTATATTTGAGTTCTCTTTTTTGCTCCATAAGAATGTTAGAAATCATTAAAAAAAGATATCAATAAGACAGAGAATCTCTTATGGCCTCTATATAAATCCATGGTACAGTAAACTTCCGATAATCCAGCACCTTTAGGACCAAAGGGGTGCTGGATTATCAGATATGCCGGACTATCGGAAGGGGGGGCTATGAGGGGTCTGGAGTGGGGTGGGGGTTTTTTGCTCCATAAGAATGTTAGAAATCATTAAAAAAAGATATCAATAAGACAGAGAATCTCTTATGGCCTCTATATAAATCCATGGTACAGTAAACTTCCGATAATCCAGCACCTTTAGGACCAAAGGGGTGCTGGATTATCAGATATGCCGGACTATCGGAAGGGGGGGCTATGAGGGGTCTGGAGTGGGGTGGGGG